GGTGATAGTAGTATTTGGTCACATGGAAGAAGTTTAACATTTGGGAAAAATCAGAGGCGTGGCCACAGGTAATCAAGTGGGTGGGATCATTATGTGGAAAGGGTTTAGTGGTTAACAGGTAGTGTGGGTGGAGTTACAACTGAGAGAATCTTAGTGCTGTATTTGGTCACATGCTATTTGAAATGGACCAATTATATTAGTGGAATACAGTGCTGTATATTTGGTCTTATGGGTGGAGTTAGACATCTGAAAGGGAACAGAGGCGTGGCCTCGGCTACACAAGTGGAAGGTGCCAATGACATGGGAGGGGTTAGTGCTGTATTTGGACATTTGTGTGGACACTTGGAGAAACTGCTGATAATACAAGTTTTCCAGAAACCCTGAAGAACGCTTGCAGAGTCGCCTGTGGGAGGAGTTACTGCTGTGTTAGTGGGCGGAGTTACAACTGGGAGAAAATTATAATGTGTGGGGGGAGGGGTTAGGGTGGATTCACACCAAAGGCAGAATTAAGTATTTGTGCGAGTAAATTACAGATCCAGTGTCAAAGCAAAAGCACAAACAGAGACGAGTTATTGCAGTGAATGGCGCCGAATGCGCGACACGTTTGACGAAAGTATGCAAAATTTGCCTTAATTTCGCCTTTAATGCAAGTTAAGAAAATGACTAGAACTAGAGCAGGAAATCTGCGTGAGCGGGAAACACCGCGAGTACAGTTGAGCGAGGGACACGAAGCTCTGCGTTTGGTGTGAAGCCAGCTGGGAGGAGCCAGGCATGTGGGAGGAGCCAGAGGTGTGGCCACAGACAAACAAGTGGGAGGGGTTTAGAGTTGTATTTGGATATAGGCAGAGTTATTTTTGGGTGATAGAAGTATTTGGTCACATGAGCGAAGTTGAGCATTTGGGAAGAATCAGAGGAGTGGCAACAAGGGGGCGGGATCATCATGTGGGAAGGGTTTAGTGGTGTATTAGGTAGTGTGGGTGGAGTTACAACTGGGAGAATCTTAGTGCTGTATTTGGTCACATGGGTATTTGGAAGGTGTGGGCACATCTACACAAGTGGGAGGGACTAATGATGAGGGAGGGGTTAGTGCCATATTTGGTCACACGCTTAACCTTAACCGTACATTAAGACATTGGAAAGTATCAGTGGGAGTGGTTTAGTGCTGTATTTAGACATTAGGGCGAGCTTACATTTGGGTGGGACTAATTATATTAGTGGAATACAGTGCTGTATTTGGACTTGTAGGCGGAGTTAGACATGTAGAACAGACCAGAGGTATGGGAGTGGTTAGTGCTGTATTTGGACTTGTAGGCGGAGTTAGACATGTAGAACAGACCAGAGGTGTGGGAGGGGTTAGTGCTGTATTTGGACATGTGGGCGGGGTTAGACATGTAGAACAGACCAGAGGTATGGGAGGGGTTAGTGCTGTATTTGGACATGTGGGCGGGGTTAGCCATGTAGAACAGACCAAAGGATTGGGAGGGGTTAGGGCTGTATTTGGACATGTGGGCGGGGTTAGACACAGCTACACAGGTGACGCAGCATGAGCGTCTCATTGATCCAGTGATTGTTCTGATCTTATAAACTCTTGATGAGATGCAAGGAAAGAGCAGAATGGAGTCCGACACAACACACACACACACACACACGTTCCAGTCCCTCTTCACTAGTCACACTCAGCACACTCAGACGACTCGAGCGCTCTCATTAGTTTACA